AGTTACATTTGTCAGTGTGAGGTAAGTTTAAACTTCTTTATTTTCCCCAAGAACTAGAATAGCTGTTCCAGCACATTTACAGAACAAACCCCCTTTCCCAACGGAATATGTTTTTGATGCTTTAGGTACCAATCCTCACTTCTACTTGCCATTGGCTATGTGGTGCCCCTTCCTCTTCCTTTTCTGCAGAGAGAAACCTCCTTCCTACCTGATCTCTGGGGAAAGAGAGGGATAATAATTTCCCTTTAATTTACTCTGTGCATCCAAGTCCTTCTCCCGTCCTCTCCAAACCTTCAGATTCATGTTTTTAAGTTATATGGTATTTTTCAAAAATGTACTTAACTTACATTAAAATGTATGGACTATGGGAGTGCCTGGCTGGCTGAGTCAGTAGAGCATATGACTCTTCATCTTCGGGTTATGAGTTCAAGACCCATGTTGGGCATAAATCTTACTTAAAAAATGTATTAATTATATATTAATATTGGAGGCATCAATATTGTTAAAATACCCATATTACCCAAAACACTCTACAGATTTAATGCAATTCCTATCAAAATACCAACAACATTTTCGACAGAATTAGAACAAATAATACTAAAGTTTGTATGGAACCACAAAAGACCCTGAGTAGCCAAAGCAATCTTGAGAAAGAAGAACAAAGCTGGAGGTATCAAATTACAGATCTGAAGGTATGCTACAAAGCTACAGTAATTTAAAAAGTATGGTATGGCACAAAGACACATAGAGCCATGGAAGAGAATAGAGAACACAGAAATAAGTCCAGTGGTTTATTGGTCAATTAATGGTCATAGTCACTAATGGTCAATTAATCTATAAGAAAGAAGGCAAGAATATAAAATAGAGAAAAGACAAGTTTCTGCAACAAATGGTATGGGGAAAATTGGACAATAAGAAACGAAAGAATGAAACTAGACCACTTTCTTACATCACTGACAAAAATAAACTCAAAGTGGTTCAAAGACCTAAATTTGAGCCCTGAAGCCATACAACTCCTAGAAGAAAACGTGAGCAATAATTTCTTTGACATCAGATGTAGCAACATTTTTCTAGACAGGTCTCCTTAGGCAAGGGAAACAAAAGCAAAATTAAACAACTGGGACTACACCAAAATAAAAAGCTTTTGCACAGCAAAGGAAACCACCAACAAAACAAGGCAATGTACTGAATGGGAGAAGATTTGCAAATGATATATCCAACAAGGCATTAGTATCCAAAACATGTATATAAAGAACTTGTATAATTCGACACCAAAAACCCCAAATAATCCAATTAAAAATGAACAGAGAAGGGGTGCCTGGGCAGTCAGTAGGTTAAGTGTCCAACTCTTGATTTCAGCTCAGCTCATGATCTCAGGGTTGTGAGACTGAGCCATGCTTTGGGCTCTGCGCTGGGCGTGGAGCCTGTTTAAGATTCTCTCTCATGCGTGAACCCTCTTACACTCTTGGTGGTAATGCAAGTTGGTGCGGCCACTTTAGAAAACAGTGTGAGATTCCTTAAGAAATTAAAAATGGAGCTACCCTATGACCCTGCAATTGCACTACTCTGTATTTACCCCAAAGATACAGATGTAGTGAAAAGAAGGGCCATATGCACCCTAATGTGCATAGTAGCAATGGCCACAATCACCAAACTGTGGAAAAGAGCCAAGATGCCCTTCAACAGAGGAATGGATAAAGAAGGTATGGTCCATATATACAATGGAATATTATGCCTCCATTGGAAAGGATGAATACCCAACTTTTGTATCAACATGGATGGGACTAGAGGAGATTCTGCTGAGTGAAGTAAGTCAAGCAGAGAGAGTCAATTATCATATGGTTTCACTTACTTGTGGAGCATAAGGAATAACATGGAGACATTAGGAGAAGTAAAGGAAAAGTGAATTGGGGGAAATCGGAGGGGAAGACGAAGGATGATGACCTCATGAAAGACTGTGAATTCTGAGAAACAAACTGAGGGTTTTGGAGGGGAGTGGGGTGGAGGTATGGGTGAGCCTGGTGGTGGGTATTAAGGAGGACATGTATTGCATGGAGCAATGGGTGTGGTGCATAAACAATGAATCTTGGAACACTGAAAAAACGAAATTAAATTTTAAAAAATCTCTCTCTCTCCCTCTGCTCTTCCCCTCACTCTCCCTCCAAGTAAATAAATAAATAAATAATTAAAAAAATAAACAGAGGAAGGGCATCTTGATGGCTCAATCAGTTGAGTGTCCTAAACTTTATCTCAGCTCAGGTCTCAATCTCAGGGTCATGAGTTCAAGCCCCGCATGGGCTCCACACTGGGCATGTTGACCATTATATCTGTCAGGGTGAGGTAACTTTTTTATTTTCCCCAAGAAGTATAAGAGCTGTTCCAGCACATTTATGGAAAAAACTCTCTTTTAAAAAAAATGAGCAGAGGACTTGATAGACATTTTTTTTCAAAAAAGACATACAAAAGGCCAAGAGACATGGGGAAAGATGCTCAACATCACTCATCATCAGGGAAATGCAAATCAAAACCGCAATGAGATACCATCACAAACCTGTCAGAATAGCTGAAATCAAAAGACAAGACATAACAAATGTTGGTGAGGATGTGGAGAAAAAGGAACACTTGGGTACTATTGGTGGGGAGGATGCAAACTGATACAGCAACTATGGAAAACAGTATGAATGTTCCTCAAAAAATTAAAAATAGAAGTACCACATGATCCAGTAATTCCACTACTGGGTATTTAACCAAAGAAAATGAAAACACAATTCAAAAAGATATATGCACCCCTCTGTTTATTGTAGCATTATTTACAATAATAATGGAAGCAACCCAAGTGTCTATCCATAGATAAATGGATAAAGATGTGGGACACACACACACACACACACACACACACAATAGAATATTACTCAGCCACAAAAAAGAATGAAATCTTGCCATTTGCAACAACATGGATGGAACTAAAGGGTATAATGCTAAGTGAAATAAATCAGAGACAAATACTATATGATTTCATGCATATGTACAATTTAAGAAACAAGATAAATGAACAAAGGAAAAAAGAGACCAAAAAAATCAGACTAATAAACACAGAGAACAAATGGGTAATCACCAAAGAGGAAGTGGGGGGGGTGAAATAAAGGGGATTAAGAGTACACTTATCATGATGAATACTGAGCAATATGGAATTGTTGAATCATTGTGTTATATACCTGAAGATAGTGTGCCACTGTGTTAATTATACTTCAATAAAAAGTAAATATATTTTAAAAAATTAAAAAAAAATGTTAAGTGTAATACCTACTGAAAAAATATATGGGAACAAATATGGTCATTCCAAATAATAATACAATTCTCAAAAATTTAGTAATCATCAGAAAAGGAACGATCACCAAGTGAGACTGTGCCTGGAAAAGATTTTTTCAAATTTTCCCAAAATTTTTTAAGTTACTAATTAGCTGCACAGGACATATAGTAGACACTCAATAAATGTTGGTTGTAGAGAAAAATTTATCTTTTTAGGTCTGAAAATATAGACATTGGGCATAGTTTCAAGTTTCTGAATTTTTACTGTCAGAATATTTTGTGCAAACAAATATAACAGAATACAGAGGGGCAAAATAACCTAAAATGTCTTCATAATAAACTACATTATGATTCATAAATAAGTAAACTTCAGATATTTTCTGGTAGGTAGTCACCAGTAAGAGCTTTATCCTGTAACAACTAGAGGAATCACTATACCATAAACTTTAAAAAATTTTTTCAGGGCTCCTCTTACACATACTTTTATGATTAAATCTTCTCCTAGAGGGACGCCTGGGTGGCTCAGTTAGTTAAGCGGCTGCCTTCGGCTCAGGTCATGATCCCAGCGTCCTCGGATCGAGTCCCACATGGGGCTCCTTGCTTGGCAGGGAGCCTGCTTCTCTCTCTGTCTTTGCCTGCCACTCTGCCTCTCTCTCTCTCTCTCTCTCTCTCTGACAAATAAATAAATAAAATCTTAAAAAAAAAAAATCTTCTCCTAGAAAGGTACTCTTAACTCTAAGAATAGGAAAAACAGGCAAACTAAAAGTAGTTACAGTCATCAAATGCCCTGGTAGTGGCATACAATGGACCTTATCAGTCCTGCCCAAAGTCTATTTCCCACCTTCTTCTCCCTGCCTGTCTCCACAACAGAGGCTCTAGAAACTAAACACTTCATTTCCCTGCCTCCCTTTCAATTGAGAGATCGTATTAACACAGCTCTGGCCAATGAGACACAAAGAGAAGTCTGTTAGCACTGCCTCTTTTCTTTCCTTCTTACCAACAGAACATATTTGTGATGTGTATGTAGTAAGCAACCTCCAAGATGGCCCTAGGATCCCTGCCTACTATTAGTCACACCTTTGTGTAGTTCTCTCCCAAACTGTATCAGTTTGTGTGACCAACAGAACATGGCAAAAGTGAGGATATCATACCTCCAAGACTAGGTTATAAAAGACTAACAGCTCCCCACCCCCTTACATCTGCCCTGGGAAAGGCACACTGCCAAGGTCATGAGCAGTCCTGAAAAGATATCCATGTAGTGAGATGTGGTGGTCCTCAGTTGGACTCCTGCCAAACAGTCATGTGAGTTAGCTTGGAAGCAGGTCTCCAGTTCAGCCACACCTTCACTGGACCATAGTTCCAGCTGTTGTCTTGACTGCAGCATCATGAGACACCCTGAGCCAGGACCTCCCAGCTAACTTATTCTCAATTCTCAATCCTCAGAAACTATGTGAGATCATAAATGTCTGTCATTTTAAGCTAATATGTTTTGGGATAATTTGTTATGCAGCAACAGATAACAAATACAGTGATGTCTTAAGGTACAACAGCCATCTGGTAACCCACCCCAGGATGAGAACCACATTCTAAGGATGGAAGAGGTTGTTACTGATAGAGCCGAGCACCAATTCTTTACTCCTAACATTAAGATTTCTTGTCAAGGGAAACTTCTTTCTGTTTAAGTCCCATAGTAAAGTTTTCTGGTATTTGCAGCCAAACAGATTCCTAACTGACATACTCAATTCCCAAAACCCAATTTCAGTTTCCAAAGGAAGGTTCCTTTTACTCAAAGATCTGCCGCTGCTCTGAAGTTCATACTTCTCCTATCTTCTAGAACCCAGTTGTTCATTTCCTGAGGCAGAAAAAATACCCAGACTGTCCTGCAGGCATTTCCAGTATTGAAAGGCGAGGGCTCAGATTATCCCTTGCACTCAGGAAACAATTACAATTCTTTTAGTAGAAAACCTACTTCTTAAAAGATGTTTCCCTTTGAGTGTCCTTTGAAAAAATGCATTTGACTATACTACAAAACACAGAGAATTCAGGAATGGATTGTGAACTGGTTTATATCATCTATAGGGAAATGGGTATCTTGATGACACTCTGCTTTATCATATGGATTCTTGGGATCATGTTTCAGTCAAAGAGCAGGAACTGGTTGTCTCTACCCTGAATGAAATACAGAAAAAGTAAGCTTCAGTTCCAAAAAAAATGTCTCCTACAATCCCCCCCTCCTCTTAACTGCAAACCTCTCTCTAGATGCCAAAAGATGCCAGAACTGTAACATATAACAGAAGGAAAGTTTCATTTGGCAAAGAAGTAAAAGTAATTTAGATCCAGTGACCTTGCTTTGTTTTTTCATTCCAAGTGTACAATTGCTCAGAGATAGAGGCAACACAGCCCCAGAAGAGGAAGAAAAATTACAGGAAATCCTGATCTATGCTTGTCCAAAATCATCAAACAATCTGGTAACTGGTATTCACTCATATGATAGCTTTTAAGTTGTCAGCAACTCTTGGCAAATGTAAGAACAGAAAGTAACTTCAGTAACTCTGAGCTCTCAAAGGCTTAGTTTTCTCATGGGTCTCTTGCCCTTAGAAAAAGGTAAGGAGGGGTAGGACCTACAAAAGGAAGTTTAGCCAGAAAGTAAACCTTCTGCTCTAAGAGATAGCATGAACCGAGATAGCACACATACTATATTTCAGAAAACATTAAGATAGAGTTTTCCAGAATTATGTAACTTCAAATATATAAAATTAGTAGATAATAACACCTTAGCATGTAACCAACCCAAGGAATTCATTTCTTAAAATTTAATTTTAGTAAAACTGCAAAAATGCTTTGAGATGTAAAAAACATTCTAGGATCTTTGAAGGCAGCTGGAGCATACTCCTAGATTCTAATGGTAGCTTAGTCATAATCAAGCAGGCACAAATGGCATTTTGCAGAAATGTGAGAGTTAATATTCCAATGATCAGGATATTGGCTTTTAAAGTTTATTCAATTGCATATATTCAGAACTAATACGACATGGACTGATAAACCTGGAACACCTCCTTGATTCTAAAACATGGTCACCTGTACAACAGCTACATATAAAAAAGCAGAACAGGCAGGCAAAATTTAAAATACTAGTTCCCGTCTCGCAGAGACCCACACAGCACTCCTTATACTTAGAGAAGCTGTCATATTTATGTATTGTTTTTGCTTTTGATCTGCGGAATTTAGAACTAACTTCAGTTCTAATTTTTATCTTCCTTTCTCTGCCCCACCAACCCTCCCAATAACTGACAATAACATATTGTTCTAAAAAATGACTTGTGATAATATTCCTGAGATTTTTCTGTAATTTGAGTATGTCTTCCATTCACAGGAAGACAGGCTGAGACCATAACAATGAAAGTGAACTCCACCAGAGGCAGGACAATGTGAGTCAGCGCAGGGACTTCCCCTTTGCTACACCATGGTACTCTTTGACCTACTTTGGCTTTCTACAAATCACTCCCTCAGTTCTCAGCCAGAAAGCACCAAATCTAGGCCTCTGCTGAGCACTGTACATTCATAAACAATAACAAGAACACGCATATACATTTATATTAAGGAATAAGCAGCTCATCTGTGGAGAAAGCCACACCACTAAATGAAACATTAACAAATGATAATTTGTTGTTGTTGTTTTCCCAAAATAAATTCTAAAACACTTACTTAACAGGGCACTTTTAAGAGAAGTATCATAAGAAATGTTGTAACACAAAATCTTTGGGAAAAAAAGGAGGGGGGGTGCCTGGATGGCTCAGGTCATGATCCTGGAGTCCTGGGATAGAGTCCCACATGGGGTTCCCTGCTCAGCAAGCAGTCTGCTTCTCCTGCTGACCTCTCTCCTCTCATTCTCTCTCTCTCTCTCCCTCTCAAATAAATAAAATCTTAAAAAAAAAATGTTTTAACAGCATTTTAAACTAATGCTTTGTGTATGTATTTCTGATTCAGAGAGCCCATCTTTTAAGGAGTCTGTTTATAAAACTTTACAATTTCTAATTGCCAAGTCATCTTTCCAATGGGAAAAGATACAATCTGCCTTTTTTATGGATTAGTTCAGTACTGTGGAGTTTTATAAAGATACTAGAAAAGCATCCTGTGAAAATAAATAGCAATGACAGTGAACTAATCTCTTTTAAAGGGAAAATTCCTTAAAGGAAGAGACAATTCCCTCCCTTCTTTACCTTTTTTGGTCAGAAAAAGTAGGCCATTAATGATTAAAATGAGTACGGCATCTGTAGGATGTTCCATTTTACTTCAACTATACAGAATAATTTGATAAATTATAATTAAATGAGATCATTTAATCAATCAATATTGATTATGTCATTGAGCCACTAGTAAGCTTCTGAAAAATTTAGTACTAGAAGGTAGCAATTTTTCCCCTAAGATAAGTAACCTAGAGGATCAGGAATAATCACAGGTTTTTACTTTTCTTTTTCAGTGTCTCAAGAAGGCAAGTATATACTATACTCTAACTTTCCCTCCTAATCTTTTCATCAGAATAGAATGACTTCAAGTCAAATACTACAAATGGTTAATTCAATAAATTTGTATGAGTCTTGATTTAATTTGTGATTAAGGGCACCTGGGTGGCTCAGTGGGTTAAAGCCTCTGCCTTCAGCTCAGGTCATGATCCCAGGGTCCTGGGATCGAGCCCCACATCGGGCTCTCTGCTCAGCAGGGAGCCTGCTTCCACCTCTCTCTCTCTGCCTGCCTCTCTACCTATTTGTGATCTTTGCCTGTCAAATAAATAAATAAAATCTTTTAAAAAAATAAAAATAAAAAAAATTAAAATGCATTCAATGCTTAGAAATAATTTACATGTACTACTTATAACTCAGATGTACATCTGATTTTTAAATGTGCATAATCTTAAAGCAACAAGTCTCTTCTAAAGTTTCTTTAAGAAGAATAATGAACTAATATAGATACTTGTGAACATCTGATCCCACAGATTGAACCTAAATAACTGAAAACAAAAAAATTTTTTTCAACATATTTAGTGAGCTTTGGACTTTTTATTTATAACATAAAAGTAGAAAAAATTTAAAATTTTGAACTTTCAATTATAAATATAAATGTATTATTTAAACAATACAATTAAATGGAACACATCCGAATTGATTTCACCTAAATATTCTGGGTTATGCAGTAAACTTGATCTTCATCTTCTTCTTTTAAAGTAATCAATCTAACAGATATTTTATTTATTTAGCTTCTACTAGGTGCCTACTGAGGGATGTAGAAATAAATGATGAGGAAATCTGACGTGGTCTCTACCTATGGGAAACTTTACCCAAGTGGAAGACAGATGTTAATCCAAGAACTAACCAAAAGTGATAAAAGTATGGTGCTCTGAGGAGTAAGAGAGAATGGAGCTAGTCAGGAAGGTCCGAGATTGCTTATCTGAGGAAGTTACCAGTGAGTGACATCTGAAAGATGAGTAGGAGGAGTTTATCAGGTGAAACAGAGAGAGGAGAAGCTCTTTCCAGGGAGAGGAAAAAGCACGTATAGAGGCTTTCTAGTGAGAGTAAGCACTCAGAAGCACAGTACACTGGAAAAACGAACTGTAGTCAGCCCGTGACCTTGGGCCATACAGTGCAAGGAAGAGTACATTGCAAGATGAGGCCCAGAGGTCAGTAGGAACCAGACCATGAAGGGCCTTATGGGAAGGGTGACTATTCATCCTGGCTTACTCCTGCTGACCTGGCTGGCAATCTGTCTTCTCATAACAAATGTCCCAGTCTGAATGACAAATTATGTGAAATCATGTATAGAATTTTGTCCTTGCCTAAAACACCATTGGAAATGATAAAAGATATTAAAGTTGTGTGTGTGAGACAGAGACACAGAAGAACAGCCATATTGCAACATTAATTTAAACATAAAAGTAAATATACAATTGCTAGAGATGTCCCCCATCTGTAAACTCTGAAATGTACTTCACAGTTGGTGTCGGGGGGAAAAAAAGACATCTGAAATTGTGCCCAGTGAATGGGCAATAAAACCTTCCTGCAAACAGAAACTGCCCTTGGGCACTCGGTCACTGTCCCAGTTCCCCACTGCCCTTAGGGGCTGAGTGGGCTTCTGGCCTGAAGATGGGGGACAGGAATGTGTCTGTCAGCTGCAGTGGCAATGCTATATACATTTATATGAGATAGAGAAGATGACTGCTAGGATACTCTCAAGAGTTACTATTTAAAAAGAAACAAGTTACAGGGGTTGGTGGGGGGGGTGTGGGGGGATGGGGGGGTGGGCGGTGGAGTTAGGGTAGGGGAAGGAAGGGCAGAGAATACAGAAAAGAGAGAAAGCCCAGGGTAGCAGAAGGCCAGAAGGCTACCTGATGTAACAGACCAACAATGTGCCCTGAATTCCCCACGGGCCTTACCTAGTATGTAGCTCAATGACAATGATGTAATGGGAGAGGATGAAGCTGATACAGAAATGTGCATGAAGAAGATGAGAGCAATCAAGAGAAAGTTTGGGGGACTACTGGCAAGGAATTGCACATCTTTAGTGGAAACTCACTATCATGACATTTGCCAAATTCTTGAATCCTGAGGTTTTTTTCTGAGATTAACACAATGACCACTACTGCTTTTTCTTTGCATTTTTCTGGTGTACCTTTGCTGATTTACTCTGTATCAGGTGGGTCTTCTGTTA